CAGTACACCAAGGGAGGCCAAACAGGGCGTGTATCAAAATGGGGATCGGTCCCGCATAGCTTCCCTGCAACACCAGCAACAAAAACACAACTCCCCCAAAACAGACCCACTCATTTAGCTGTGGCTTTTCAGCGAACGCTTTTTTCAGGTTTGCTTAAAGGAAAAGCACATAAGAAAAGAGAAGGAACACCACAGGTTTACTTGGCACCACTATTCTGACACATACTCATTTTGAGTGACCAATCTCCTGTTTGAACCGCACTGAACACCTCCCAGAGATCAGCAAAGCCGTGAGGCCCCCCACCCGTCGCATGCCGGTCTGGCTGGAGCCGTGAACGCGCGGACTGCAACGCTGTGGGGTGGGGTGGCGGGGGCGGTGGTCAGTATAGCTGTCCTTTTTGAACCTAGCGATGTCGCAGGCTATGCATCAAGAAGCTCGATGAGTTGTAATATGAAATGACTGGCCCTTCCAACTCAGGTCCTCGTGCCGACTGGAGATTCTGTCTGCACAGAATGCAGTGCAGTTTCCTTAATTGAGCGTTTGTCATGCTAGTCCAGCTAGATTTAGATTATGCTACTATCTGCCCTTTCGCCCTCGTGACAACAAGTCTGTACTGCCTTTCTTTTGTCCGAACATCTGTCAAAATTGGTACCCAAATCAAAGCGACCAAGTCGAAAAGGGGATCCTGAGCTCAACGAGCGCGGTCTCCCAAACACCTCTGCAACTCTGGCAGCTTTTGGCTAGGGAGTTCAAACACAAGCGAATCCAAAGCATGGGAGGTCAAGACTATGGCCTATTTTGGACCCCTTCAATTGGACACCACATGCTGGTCCCAAAATCTGCAATCCATTTGCCCCCAATCAGGATAGTTTGAAGGAAGCAGCTCAGTTCGAGCCAGGCCGCGCGCGTGTTTTCTCCATATGCACACATTGACATCGCAGGAACTCGTTCAAAAAACAACACCTAAACGCAGTTTTCTGTATGGCAAGCATAGAGCGAATGATGCAACGATTGGAATGCCAGCCGCCGCCAAGCAAGGTCCTAAGTCAGCATGAATCTCCGCCTAAAACTTTAGGCAAAGCAAAGTGCGGTGATCCATGCAAGTGCCGAAGATCCTTTTCCTTGTCCAACAATAGCAATGGCAGCTGCAGCAGCACACATTCATATACACGTGCATCACCGTCAAGTAGGGTGGTTGTAGGCGGCACGTTGGATTGCACAACTTCTGATGCGGTGGGCTGCTTGAGGTTGTGCACCTACACATTGAAGGGTAGTGTCGAGAGACCTTGAGCGCTTGCGCCCAACAGCCAGATCTTTATCGTCGCCTTCAGCTCCGCCGTTTCTTCGAACAAGTTGGCCGTGACTTCCAGTGGTCAGCTGCACCAACTGTCTCAGCTGTAGATGTTCTTGTGCAAGGCAATTCCGGCGGGATATCCTACATACCTCGACTGGGAGCCCTGTTGCTAGGAGCTGGCAAGTGGGCGGAACAATTCTAAGATGAAAAACAATCGAAGCAACACTAAAGGGCAAATGCAAATCAGTCGTCTATAACTTGTGATTGAAGCACGTACAAGTACCTTAGGAATCTGGAAAACCCTAGTGCTGCCAAGTAAAACCAACTTGCGCATATCATCGGCATTGATTGATTGGACTGGATGTTTGAGAGGTTCCAGTTTTGCAAATCCGATTCTACATGGGCACAACAAATCCACCATGAACGTGGGGCTCAATGAACTATTGGACCCTACGAAGAAAGCCAACCCCATTTCGATATGGGTTTGTCTTTTTCGGGGACCCCCCAAGAAGGTCGTCTTGGTTTCCCTTTCAAAAAGTGAACACAAAACAGGTGCCGTGAAAAAGACAAGCCCATATCTTCATTCTGCCGCTCCGAGCGGCAAATACAGCAGCAGTGGGCCCCAAATGGCCGGAACCATCAGCAGCATCACGTGTCGCGGCGCGCCCAGCTGCACGGTTCTTGCGCCGATGCGCAGGGCCATGATCACCTGAGCCATAACTCAAAGGCCGCCACGAGCATCATGTTGACTCAGGAGTGATAAACCCGTCCCATTACTCGGGGGGTGTTCCCTCCCAAAGTGATGAATCCCCACTGCAAAAGGACACACTCCTATTAATCAACCAGGGGTTTATTAATCCGGGGTTAACATTGAGGAGTCGCAGCATTCTATGAAGCCCGTTCAAAGCTGCACCATTGCAATAAGGAGTTCCACCATAGGAGTCGGAAGGAAGGCAACTTTCGATGTGCGGATCTGTTTAGCGGGAAACTGACGCAAAGGTCAGCGACTGCGTGGATCCCTCGAAACCTGGACTGGACATGTGAGCCAAGCGACCCCAGGCGTCGTCACCACGAACTGGCGCCAAAAGCCAAGCGGGCGTGGGGGCTCGGCATGTGCCGAACGTGCCTGCCAAGAAAAGCAACATAAGCGGATTGATGGCCCCCACGAACATGGGGCCCCCTTTAAGAAAGTCCTGGTACCTTTCCACTGCTGTATGTTGGGAGGGTACGGGTTGCAAAGCGGAACGCTAGATTGTCCAAAAGACTAGCCAAGCCTCTGAATCACTATCAAATGATTAGTTCCTGGAAGAAACGGAAGGGTACAAGCTTCCCGCTTACTAAATCTAGGCACGCTCAACATATATTGCAAGGTCACTGCCAGGGTGAATCATGACAGTTGAAAACAGTGTCCACTGCTCCTCTACATGTCTTATGCACAACATATGTATATTCTGATGTACCTGATCAACGTCTTCTCCTCTGCATAACATAGTGAACCATACGCTTCCTTGACTTGTTACCATCGTCCAAACCAAATTCACTTGAGTCAAGTAAATGGTGTTTTAAAAGCACAGCCAGGAGAAAGCCAGTTTTTGCTGGGGGTCCCTCTATCTTAGGAAAAGCATGGAGAAGCGAAACACCCAAATGGAATGCCCCTGAGCCACAAGGACAGCTAGCATTCGCCCATAGCCAAGCTGCCTGTGCCCAAAATCCTTCACCCCGCATGGCGGCAACGTCCTCCTCGCGCGGCAAACATCACCATTTCCACATATTTCCACGCTCCCACTCCCGCAACTTCGCTCAAAAAGATGGGCTTTCTGTTCCATTCACAAAACGGATTCCATTCAAAGCCCGTTTCAAACGGTCGGACATCCACTGCCCATCTCCATTTCCTCTCCGTTCGTCTCTACCAAAAAGCGCCGCTGCGAACGGCGGGCCGGCTCCTTCGCCTTCGGCGCGGGGTCCTCGGGCCCGTCCCGCGCCCCGAAGGCGAGGCCCACGCTCACCGTGAAGGCGCTGTACAGTCCAGCGGCGGCACGGAATTCCGTGAGCAGCACCTGGCAGAATAGGCAGCAGCTGACGTTGGGTGTGAATTTTACTAAGAGGGACCTGTGGTGGGCACCATTTAAGCGGGGATTTATGTCCACCAACCACTTTGGAGGTGGTTCCTTGTTAAATTTCATGGCCACATCAACATGCTCAACGCTGCCAACGTATTTGTAGTATTTTTGAGAGACCTGTTGGTTCACACATCACAACATTGATGCGGATGCATTGATTGCACATGGGGGTTGGAGCAAAGCAATCGCGAGTCCACCTTGGGCCTTTATGCTATCAAGCGCTGTTGCTAAAGCGGAGTTCGACAAGATTCATCCAGTTGAGCCATGATCCTTAGAATTGCGGTTGACACCATTCTTGAGCAGTCCTGAAAACCTTTGGTGACCAAATCACCTACGGCTGTCTTTAACATGGCCCAGGCCAATGCCGGAGTTTCCCCTCAAGTAAGAATCCTCAATTCCGGTAGCAGTTGCAAGCAGCTCTTATCCTCAATCATATGGCATCCACCTAAGCACCTTCTCAACCCAGAGGCTGGTGTCCCAAATAGGGAGATCCTCTCCTAGGAAGCCCAAGCAACTTGAAGCCGCTAGCCCATTGAGCTGGTTTCCGTGGGTCAAATTAGCTCCAAGTGCGTCCTTTTGGTCCGCAACACCACAGGTACCCTCAAAGACACGCGACTTCGATGCCGGCCTTGGCGGACATGGTCGTGATCGCTCGCCGCGTGCGTTGAAACTCGTCTTTCAAAAGGGACCCAAGGTACTTCCATATATCTTGAATTGCAAGGCCGGGTGTAGTTGTTAAACACATTGCCATCTTAACAAGAAACACGCCACGACCCAGCAGGTAGTGGCTTTAATGCATGATAACTCAAAATTGGAGACAAATCCTTGGCCTCCTGCAATGAGATGCTTTGCTGTCCAGTAGATTGCGCTGGCTCTTGCAGGTGTCCAATTGTATCACCCCGCTCTGTCAACAAAACAGACCGGCCACCCGCCAAGAATGGCCCAAACAAAGATCAAGTTCTTGTGGGAGGATCTCCAGAACCCGGGCCCCTTTTAAGTGAGCACGCATACGATCCTATGTGCCTTGGCGATACGCATCAAACGCGAAACAGTAGTCTAGGTCTGGTGATCGTTCACACCAGGTACCAACACATGTGAGCCTTGATTGAAAGCTAATCCTAACACATCGCTGCACCATCACATCTCTTCACAAATCCTCTTGGCAACACGCTCAAGGTGTGCAAACGTCTTTTGCCGTACATACCAAGTTGGCCGCTGCTGATGGCAACTCAAATGTAGCCGTCCGGTGGAAAGGCCCCACACACTCAAACAACCCGCCCATGATTAGCCAGGATCTCAGTGGTCCAAGGCTGCTATCCGCTCTCCTCAGTGGATCCTTTTGCTAAGGGCATTGACTGAGCTTCCGCTCCACTGCTCTTCTTGAGCAGACAGCCTCTAAGGCGCAAAGGGCACAAGATAACCAGAGATGGCGACACCGTGAGTGGTCGAATTGTTTGCTCAAGCACCAGCAGAAGGGCGCTCTCTACTGGAAGTCCGAAATGGCAACAAACAGTACATCCAAGAACGCAATATTGCCCATCAGATCATCATGTGAGCAATCTTCTATTTTTCAAGGCTAGTAGTTTAGGGGGCACTGGGTCTTTTTCGTTCTGTGCCCTGAGCGTGAGAGTCTTGGCTGAAGGAATTCCGGCCCAGATCCTCAGCTGCAGAGCTTCATCTGATGACCTGAGCCCAGGCGACTCGGGTCTCGCGGTGTCAAAATCAAGACTCCCCGTTGTGGCCAATGCTGGCTGGCTCCAAAGGAAGCCATGTGGAGCGGCTCCTCTTGAGGTCATGATATTCCAGGTTCTCAAAGGGCGGACACCTGTTTGGCCTCCCGAAACTACCTTAAACATCAAGTTGAACATGCCATGAATTCTGAGGCAAACAAAAATGGAGATGCAAATACATTCCCGCGAGGAAGCGGGACCCAACCATACTTTGCCACCCTTGTGTCCTAATCCACTTTGAGCCGCTTTCCAGCCCATTCGACTACTCAGTTTGTACAAGAACGTGCTTGTCCGGTCAGGGAACAACACGTATATTTACGTTTGATGTTCGGATTCGAAGGGGACACCACCAACAATGAACAAACGCCCCACGGGACAACTGGGTGAAAACGCAATGAGTCTTGCAAATGTCAACATGACCCCTGGAGTAGTTCGCGCTAGGTGCTCGAAGGACCCCCGCCGAAACGCGGCATACAGTCATCAAAACTCATAGACCCCGTTGCATGGGGAGAGTTTGGGGTAGTGGAACCAAGTTGGTAGGTCAAATACAGGTAACTTGCTGGCAATCCAAAACAGCTTTCAGGACTAGTGAGACTTCAACACTCGATTTGATACAATAACACAGCCAGCCATTGATTCTTCTCAGGGCACTTCAGGCATTCATGAATGCGAGCCAAAAGGCAGGGCACCCCGACTAAAGGAAGCAACCCATCAAGCAAATTCGAGGTCCCACATGGCCATGGGTCAAAATCCAAATCGTACCCCCAGTGAACCTCCCAATCCAACCGCTAAAAACAGGTTCTAAAATGGGTGGTGAATTCACCTACCAACCAACATGGGATCAACCACAACGGATTTGACCACCACAGCCACATCCGGGAGAATCCTTCCTGCGGGGGCTCCTCCTCGGGCTCCGGACGTGTCGAGCCCCAGACTTCTCCCGGGAGTCGAAGGTCTGCTTGGACGCCCAGGAGTTGGAATCCGCGTCGAAGTTGGTCCTACGAGTCCGATGCAATACATGCATTGGGTTCTATTTAAAAAAAAACAACAACAATTGTTCTTTGTTCATGTGTTCATTATTATTATCTTTCTTATATTTATGATTATCATCATTATCATTATTTCATTATTATGTTGAACTTGTTTTTTTTACCCAATGCATGCTTCGTTGGAAAATGATGCACCTTGGGAGATATCTAGCCTGACAGGCGCTATATGTTGAAGAGAAGCTGACAGGTCTTTTCGGAAGCCTGAAGGCTTCCGTGAGCACTCACTTCTCTGAAAAGCTCAATTCATTGACAAGTGGGGTAGGAACTGCCGCTGATTCCGTGATTGCACCTCATAGAGAGAACTGTGACAGTACAAGAAACAGTGGAGTGTGTAGATTGAGCAGGTGTGGGAATTCACGCAGATCAAAGTGTTCCACTACAGCCTGGGCTCTCAACATGTTCTTTGCAAAGACACATATACACACACACAGCGTCCTTGCTTTCTTTCTCTTTCCAAACTTTTCCAAGCTATCGGCTCTTTCAAGCGCCTCTTCATCAAATACCTTGTTCTCAAATCAAGGTCCAAGGCCTCCGGATGGATTGCAATTTGAAGCCTATTTGGAAGTGGCCCATGCTGCACCCGATTCGATCCACGGGGGCTCCTCATCTCGCGACTATCCACCACAGGCCTGGCACAAGCGCAGTCTTGGCAGTGCCTGGAGCTTGTGTTTCTTGGCGGTGCTACAGCACTCCAAAGGCAATCCTGAAACATTGGTCTAGTCTTTTGATAAGCTGTCAATGCAGCCGCCAAACGGATGCGTTTGGTTGCACGCTGACTTGGGTAGGTTGTAATCTTGTTGCCCGCCAAACATGAGCAAAGCAGTGCCTCCCTGCTTTGGTCGACACAAAGAAGGTGCCTAAATCACTGGACGGACAGAATATGTTCAAAAGACAAAAACACTCCAAAGAGCCCGACTCAAAAGCTTCCTATCGAAACAATCTCAAAAGATAAAGATGAGATACCGTTGCACGGCCATTGAGGTCGCGCAAGCTCGAACAGCCCTTCTTCCGCTGTAAAGCCATTGCCAGCCTTCCAGACTCCAGGATGTTGTTGGCCTCGCCGACCTTGTGCTCGCCTCAGGATGGTGCAACAGCTAGTGATTAGTGGGGAGCGTCAAAGAGTCAGTCGGCTGTTTAGCCTCTAATCAACACACACACATGTATGATACAAACATATATATACATAGATGTTCATCCAAACATAAATATGTATATACACATTGTGCCAGCATATGCATAGTGTTGCCTCCAAACAAACAACAACTTGTAACCAGCTGTGGATGCTAATGGCTGTGGCTCAGTCTTG